CAGACTAATAATTAGTTAATTTGTTTATAAGGCCATAACTTGTAAACTATTCAACTTACCGATTCCAGATTTCGTGTGAGTTATTAGACAGTGATAAGGAATGAGAGGATGCGATGCCAAAACGTTCTGGTAATAATAACGCAGTTTATAAATGTTTAATTCAAAAGTCATAAATAAACTTCTTCTGTTTCTAATTTTTGATATCGTCAATATTTTTTGACGCTCAAGGGCTAGTTTTGTAGGTTTTTTGAAGAAGAAAAAGAAATTACTTTACTGTTTTCTCGTGGAAATGAACGGAAAAAAGTTATAAGCGAAAAACGTGAATTTACGTAAAAATTATACAATTAACCACCCTGTAAACAATCTTCCCCCCATTTTTATGACTGTGGAAACTAATATATTATTGTATATAATATTTAGCATTTATAGTGATAAATTCAGCTTGCCGAAACAAAAAGTCGGGAAATGGTCATTTCCCAGCTTATTTTCCTGGCCTATTAAATTAGATATTTACCTCTGATATTTTTTGAACTGGCAAAGGAACAAATTACTCTCCCTGCAATGACGCTTCCAGCGTAGTACTGCCCCCGGTAGTTATCCAGCTGTATTAAACAGGATGACATCTTTTAACGTCGCAAAGAATCTGCAAAGCAAGGCATTAAATCATTTAGTCATGAAGTTTAAGAAATTAGTTTTAATATTTTCAAAACTCTTGAGGTGGCATATTAAATAAATGGAATTACGTATGTTCACACAACAATCATGGAATAATAACATGAATTTAACTTCGAAATGCCACTTAATTCGACTGCCAAACTTCTACAAAAATTTTCTAATGAACTAGAGGTCTGAGTAGTAAGATATAACATACAGTGTATTCAAGTGTGTCAAAGCGAAACAAATATTCTGATTAATAATATTGTGGGAAACACCTACTCTGCAGATTAATGCCCCGAGCCAGCATAGAACTACACCCACAATATCTAGTAAACGGCTTGATATTGCTGTTGTAAACCATCATGGAATTACATCCGCTTAATGACGAATAATCTTACTTATTTAGGGTCTAATTCAACATTGCCCAGGGCATTAGTCTGCAGAGTAGTCATTACTCAAGAATTAAAGGTCTATTCTGACTTTACGAAGATATAGCAGCTTAACATGACCTGTTTACGTGACCTTTTGAAGATGTCTTCCAAACTAGTAGATAATCTAAGGAATTTTAAGAACTACACAAAATCAATCACCCTATGCTAGCTCAAAAATAATTTGTTATTTCCAACATAAAGCCCAATACAACACCCCCAAAATGTCGGACAATTTCGAGATTAAGAATATACTGTACTCAAAGTACATAGTCATTGTTTTATTTCAATAAATGTATGTTATATATTTATTTATTTATTGACCTTTTAGAGGACCGGCATTTAACAAGTATCCATGAAATTTCAATTTCATAGTACTTCAAGCTGTGGGTACACATGTTCGCAAGTAATCCGTTTTTAATTACAATATCAAGAGCGCCAGCGAGACGCCGTCCGGACGCACCACAGGGTTCCCTGAAGACGACCCCGGCAGAGTGGCGCCAAGCACCAGGGACTTCTGCCAGCGACTACACACGAGGAGGGACTCTCCAACGAACACTCACTCCGTCAACACGTCTTTTTCTATACAACTTAGTTTTCAATAACATACTTTATTATTACCGTTGAGAGAGCGTTTTATTCTTGCTGTACAGCGAATGCAACCCTCAAAGCAATCGAATTTTGCAACTGCCCTTTTTAACTTTTAGAAGTAACTTTTTTTTAAGAACTGCCTTTTCGGTTAGAACTAACCCTTAGATTATGCGCTGTTAGAGATTATGTTACTTTTTTGCGGTATTTTTACTATTTTTGCTGGACATCTAATTCCACGTACGCCAATGATAGTGGCATCGGAATTTCTTTCTTTACGAGCCGTTTTTTTGTTCAACTTTTGGGTAAATTTAAATAACAATGTTCTTTCTTTCTTATGCTTTATGTTTTATGAGACAGGCATAGATTTCACATTTAACTGGGAGATAAATTTATCAGGGGATGAGAAAACCGGGCCTAAGATTAGTTGGGCTAAAAATTATTCTGGATATTTTGCTTCCTCGTTGATAATGTATTATTAATATTACTCCAAAATCCAAATAAAGTTCATTCTTTAATTTGTTGGCGTTGTTCGTCACATATCCACGCACTGCAACAAAAAGTCTCCAAGTTTATAACAAGAAAGGTGTCGTAATAAATTTGATTCGAACGCGCTTCAAAAAATTTCTTCANAATAGTAGATAATCTAAGGAATTTTAAGAACTACCCAAAATCAATCACCCTATGCTAGCTCAAAAATAATTTGTTATTTCCAACATAAAGCCCAATACAACACCCCCAAAATGTCGCACAATTTAAGAATATACTGTACTCAAAGTACATAGTCATTCTTTTATTTCAATAATTATTTATTTATTAACCTTTTAGAGGACCGGCATTTAACAAGTATTCATGAAATTTCAATTTCATAGTACTTCAAGCTGTGGGTACACATGTTCGCAAGTAACCCATGTTTAATTACAATGTCAAGAGCGCCAGCGAGACGTCGCCCGGACACACCACAGGGATCTCGGAAGACGACCCCGGCAGATTGACCCAAGGACCAGGTACTTCTGCTAGCGACTCCACACAAAGAGAGACTCTCCAGCAAGCACTCAAACCGACAACACGTCTTTTTCTATACAACTTAGTTTTCAATAAAATTACCGTTGAGAGAGCGTTTTATTCTTGCTGTACAGCGAAAGCAACCCTCAAAGCAATCGAATTTTGCAACTGCCCTTTTTAACTTTTAGAAGTAACTTTTTTTTTAAGAACTGCATTTTTGGTTAGAACTAACCCTTAGATATAGATACATATCCACGCACTGCAACAAAAAGTCTCCAAGTTAAGTTTATAACAAGAAAGGTGTCGTAATAAATTTGATTCGAACGCGCTTCAAAAAATTTCTTCAGTACAAATTCAGTGCATTCAGTTGAAGTATCAAATTGTTTTGTTGGTTCAAATGCGACATGTGTCTAAGTTTTTAATGCTTAAAAACAGCTTATGATAACAAAACCGCTATAACAAGCCTGGTACTACTTAGAACGAGTTTTAAAATATAAAAAATACCTATGTACTTTAAGTAGCACCGAGTTTGTTACGAAGGTTTTGTTATCAAGAACTGTTTTTAAGTATTAAAAATATAGACAAAATTGAAAAACACGTCCTGGAAAATTTATTATAAAAAGAAATTATTATAAAATATGTTAGAGATATTAAAATGCAGGAGAATAAATCACATTCTGTGAACGTGAACATTATACTAGGAATATACAGGGTGGCCAAATTAAAACGAAACAGAGCCATTTTCAGGAAGATTGTAAAAAAACGCTCAGACCCATCGATTTTAAGATTAAAGGGGGCTTCATTAACTATAGGTTTTTCAATTTCTCGTTTTTATTGGCTACGTTCCCTCTCTCTTGAAATTTTTTTACTAACTCTAGAACATACTTCCTCCTGACATGTCGATCTTGATGTTATTCATTAAATAGCTGAGCTGTTCTATTCGCACATTTATTGTTCATAAAGTAAAGCAAAATGATATCTATCCTTTCCGCAATCATAGTGTTTAATTTTCAAAAACACATTTAAATAAACTACCAACTAACGCTTCCAAATAATACTAGAAAATGATTTGGAATCCACTAATTTTACGTTCATTGTGTGTGTATAGCATTCATTTACGTTTTTTACAATTGTTTTTTTTAGGAGTGATAACAAATCTCCAAAAACCAATATAACGCAAGAAATACTAAATTTATACCATTGGCTACTTAATTCGAATGACTGACATTTTTACCGTTACTAATTGTTTGTACACAAGTTTCGACTTTAAAATCAAAATTCTTAATAAGTATTGGGCGTAATTATAAAATTTAAAGTCTGTTGTAAAGAGAATTGTAAGAGCTTTCAAAAGAAATATTACTCAACCCCCAATGCTATTTAAATATTTTGGGGTGATGCTTACCCTTGCTTGTGGGTGAAAGTGGCGGAGTCAAAAATACCAGCAAAGAAAGTCCCCCTATTTAATCTAAAATCGACGGGTCTGAGCGTATTTCTACAATCTTGACGCAGTTCCTGAAAATGGCTGTTTCGTTTTCATTTGGCCACCCTGTATTTCCGTAAGTGAACGTAAATGAAAAAAATAATTTTTGAACATTTAGACAATAGAATTAAAGCTTACCCTGTATAATAATTTCATCGACATCACGACATCCATAATCGTACCGGATATTATTGATACGAATTGTTATCTACAATATTACTTAGAAGGAAACCCTCTTTTTATTTTGCAATTTGCAAATAAATTATACTTTTTAATACATTTTGAATTTCCTGCACCTCGACTACGTTTAGGTATACCCTATACATACCACAAAAAAAAATTGAAAACATACTTCCTCTATGGTAAGTACCTAATTAATTTTGAAAAAATGTATCTCAATTTGAGCAACACGATTTTAATTTAATCTTCGCCTGGCAACACTGGTGCTCAACATCTTTAACTATTATATAGTAGGATCATATTCGATGCAAAGTAATAAATCATTGCCTGTCAAGGGATCCAGTGCAGTACAGTTTTAAGGGATTTAGAAATTGAATAATTTCACAGCTTCCAAACATATCAGCGAACTTGACTTCTTTTTGTTTTGTGGGTACACATGCCGCAAGTGACCCATTTCTAAGTACAACGTCATTAGCGCCATCCTGACGCCGCCCGGACGCACCACAGGGTTCCCGGAAGACGACCCCGGCAGATTGGGGCCAAGGACCAGGTACTTCTGCTATTGACTCCACACAAAGAGAGACTCTCCAGCAAACACTCAAACCGACAACACGTCTTTTTTCACAAGCTTAATTTTCAATTAAAAATACTTTATTTTTGTTGTACAGCGAAAGCAACCCTCAGTTCCTTAGAAAGTATTGTTTGGAGTTTGAGCATGAAAAGCGTTAGTAAATGAAAAAAACGCCCTTAGAAATTACACAGTAGAATTAATGGACATCCTGTATAATAATTTTATAGACGTTCCTTTATATTGTATGTCTACATATGTTAGTCACATGGTAATATATTGCAATTTAAAATGACACAGTTTTTCAAAAATTTTCAACTCCCCCTGTACCTTGATAATGTTTTGTAGGTGCACCCTGTATATTCCGAAATGGAAAGTTGAAGAGCTTCATATCAGGCACTTAACTTCAAAATATAGCTCAGTGTGAGAAACAACACGATTTTGATTTAATGTTTGAAAAAGTATAAAATTCAAAGAAATATTCCGGTCTGACAACGCTGCGTCTGCAGAGTCAATCAAAATCCTTACCTAGATCCTAGTTTTAACGCAAACAGAATCATTCACAATTTTTACACTAAATTTCACACCGCACACCTATTACGTAACACTAAAATTGTGTTTATTTAACAGTTATCTGTCCATTTACAGGATTATTAGTGCGAGTTAGGTATTCAATTCCGGATTCCTAACCTTAAAATAGTAGTTTTCCCACTACACACTCGCACAAAAGTAAAAGAGAATCAGCGACGGGCGACGAACACAAAGTTGACCTTGCTGTGGCGCCAAGCGATTATGTTTTGTTTCATTTTAGTACGCGCCACAGCCAGAGGAGATATCTTTCATTCATTTTGCATTTTATCGAATAGATGTCATTACATAAGTGCGATGTAATCGGGAATTCCAGGGAAGTGTTTAAAATGTAGGGTGTTATGCGAGGTTCACAACCCAAGAGCACGCAGTGAAAATTGAAGTTTCTACTTTCGGGATCAGAAAGTCAACAAATTTTATCGTTATCCACCTTTAAGAAATCATAAGAAATTCGGAGAAATTTTTTTTAATATGTTTGCTTCCCTTTCAAAAGATCCACGGGCTTTAATATTTTTTTTAACAATTCCACCCGACACCTCTTTAATTTGATTCATCTTCTTCAATATGAGCTGTTCGAGAGCTCTGTAGGAATGGAGGAAGTTTCCAAAACCCTGTTATTATAATTTGTACCGGGTACAATTGAATCAATTTACAATAAGTGCTGCATAAACAATGAATTATTATTATTAAAGTGTTTTATATTTTGCACAAAGCAGGTTTAATGCTTTGTGGTGTTTCGGTAGCTTAAGATTGACTAGAAGCTGTGACAAAATGGCAGAAAGAAGAAAGGAGACCATTTTAAACAAAGTTAATTAAGTTTTCTTTAAGATTACACTATTATTTGTTTATTTTAACGTAATGACAAGAAAATGAAATAAAATGAGGTATGTATTAACAGTTTCATAGAGATTAATGAAGTTACAACAAAACTGCCTTAATCAAGTTTATTGGAAAAGAACTCTCGTCTAGTGGAAGTCAAACCTAATTCTTTGCAAAATTCCGTCCTAGAACTATATCTTATAATAGTTATTTCTTAGTATTCTTTTAACCAATTTTAGCTGACGGTAACTAAGTTACCTATTTACTTTTTCTTATAGCTGTTTTACATTGACAATTTATTGATCAGTTAATTCATGAAGTCGCTTCATCAAGAAATTGGACAAGTGTAATGCACCAAATCAGTTGTCAAATAACTTCATGAATTTATTCATCAAGTTCTTGACGAATTAGAGCATGTTCTAATTTTCGTCAATTCCTTCGTGAAGTTCGGAAGAACCAACCCAACAGATTTCCATCCTCAGATCAGTAATGAGGTTATGTTATCGGAATATGTAAATAATTGTGTGGCGTCGTACTAGTTTTGCATTGTTTTTACTGATTTGTTACTTACAAACACTAATATTTCTATATATTGTGTCAAAACGGTACCGCTGTTGTATCACTACAATTATGAGTGGAACGGTGACATTTTTGAAATTTATTTGCTTCTTTGATTCCTTGGTAGAACTGGTTCATGCGTCAAAAAACTTGACAAAGTCTGTATCTGTAGCAGTGTAAAACCACACTGTTTACCAATAAATTCGTGAATTAATTCATGAAGAACTTCGTCAATTTATTCATCAATAAATTGTCAATGTAAAGCAGCTATTACGAAAGCCTTTGTTCTTTTCACATTAATAACTTGTGGGGGGTGCTTAGAAAAGCTTAACTTCAGATTTGAGACCAAGATTTCCTGCACATTTTCCGCCGTCTTGTAAAAAGGGGTGAATTTTTGTTTTTGCTATAACTCGGTTCCCCGTCGAGATACAGAATTTTTGTTTTGTTGTTTGTTGTTCCTATTTCGGCGATCTACAATTTAGGTCCTATAAACTTTTCACCTATTATTAGTTGTTGAAATATCGAAAATAAATAAAAATTCAAAGATTCGGACTGGTTTTTCGGATTTTTCTAATTTTTCCTTAAAACTTATCGAAAACATGTCTATTTTTCCAGATCCGGGGCTACAGCCCACTTAAGCTGGGCCTAATCGTGTTCAGCGCCTCAAAATATACTACGAAAATTTCAGAAAAAATCAGTTTTGGCCCATATTTGAGACAGATTTCACCCAAATAGAAGACTTTCTGAAAAATATTGAAGTCATGGGTAAATTTCACTATTGGCATCGTGTTCAGCGTCTCAAATATTACGGAAATGATATACAGGGCGTTTGGAAAAGTTGGTAAAAAAAAATTAAGAAGGTGAAAGAGCCAAAAATAGTAAAAAAAAGGTCCTATAAATATTGGTCCTCCGGAGCACCGTTATTGATAGCCCTCCAAAGGAGTCTTATGCTTTGGATATTTTTTTAAAAAGTTGTAGGTAATAATCATACCATAAGGGTCTTTAACTATCGTAAGTTTCATCAAAATCGATTATAAATAAGAATAGTTTTCTAACTACCCTTAACCGAAATTTTTCGATTTTTTTTTAATTCCTTTGAATTATCAAGCAAATAATATTATTTTTTAATGAATTAGACTTTTTTGAAGAAAAATGTTTACTTTTTCGAATTCTGCGTAGTTTAGACAGAAATAATAATTTTTTAAATAGTGTATGGCTCAGAACAGTAACATTTTTTAACTAACTCCAAATTTAATTATCGTGAATTTATCGTCCAATGAGGCGTAGGCATGATTTAGACGAAGTAAGAAGAGCATCTGCTCTCTGCATGTTCATGGTTGCAAAAAAATCGAATTAAATGTAAAGTCAAGCACAAAGATCACAACTAAGAAGATAATAAAGAAACGTAAGAATTTAGATGATAGCACGCGAATTTGACAATCTTTAGTATCATTACAATGAAACTGTCACCATGAAAGATGCCTACGTGAAAATGTTAAAAAAAGTTACTGTTCTGAGCCATACATTATCTAAAAAATAATTATTTCTGAGAATGAGTCAAACTAAAAAAGAAGGCAAGTAGGATTGCCAAAAAAAAAATACTGAACCCCGTGGACCTTTTGAATGGGAAGCAAAAAACTTTTTTTTCTTATAGATTTTTGTCTTTCAGGTCCTGAAACAAGAAACTTTTCATTGCTCTACCCACTAAACATTTTTCAGTTTCTGACATGTTTCAGAAACGTTTCCGTTTTTCTTGAAACGTTTCATAAAAAATCCATGCAACGTTCTGGTAACGTTCTAGAAGCCCAAGATGTCCTCCCCAAAATACGCTTCCAATGAAACGTTTCAAAAAATTGGTTTCAGTAACATTCTTTTTATGTTCCATTTATGCCCTCGATATTTTTGTTTTACGTTTCAGTATATTTTCAGAAATGTTTGAGTAACATAATAATTTTATTACCATATGGTTCTCATAATGCTCTCAACTTGAAAATGATTCATTTCAAAAGCGTTTTTGAAATAGTATAGTGAGTATTTTTTTAAATATCTCTAATACTCCTTTGTGATATTTTTATTTGTATTGTGAATGACTTAATTCAAACTAAAAAAAGTTACATTGTATATTAAAAAAAATAAATATGCTCTTCTAGTTTGGGGATGCGGCAACTTTTACTAAGAATTTCTTTCTTTTTGAGAAGCCACTGGAAAAAGTTTCTAATATGGATTATGAATTTTGCCATTCATCGTACAAATAAAAATATCACAAAACAATATCAGAAGCATTAAAAAAAAGCTACACATTTTATATAGTTCAAATACGCTTCTGAAATGGAAATTTTCTAATGTTGAGACCTTCATGAATATGGTAACAATGACGAACTGATAATTAGAAAAAGTTAGTTATGATTATGAATCTTAAAATGGTAGGTACATGAAAAACAAATAACATTACTGAAAAATAATATAAAGTTATAATTTCTTCTACGCATGGTCAATATTACATATATCCTTTTAATAATAATAAATTATACAGCAGAAATAAGGATACAAAATGATATCTTGACAAAGTAAATATCTGTAGGTATACCTAAACTCTTTTATTTAAGCATGCCTATACACATAAACAAATATAAACATTTGTACAAAATATAAAATAAATGACGTCTATTTCACTTGATTCATCCATATTTCAAATAGTTCTCACTGACTAAGTAGTTGCTCTTCAAATTATATCGAAACGTATAGTTGTTGTTCCATTTTCTTAGTTCTTGTCCCTTGTCCTCTTGTCTGTAATAGGTAGTGGGTATAACTATATTTAGGTAGATGTGACGCAAAATTGGAAATCTCTTCACACATATCGTTTTAAACATTTTGCATCAATATTCATTATTTTATATGCACCTTACAATAACCACAACTGCACACACTACAAATTATCACATAAAATAGCGTCAAAGTAAAGATGAATAACAACGAAACCAAGCAAACTGACAAACCGCAAACCTAACCTAACATAATACGAATTGAAACGACACACGGGAAACAAATAAACTCGGGCTGTTACGCGCAGTCTACGCAAGTCACGAACATACATTTTTTCTAGACTTGTGTTATAAATATGCTACCACATTTTTTTTTCTAATTATGTCTTTATATAACAAAGGCAAATGAACTAACGCTTGAGAAGGATTGGGGATTGAGAGCAAAATTTAACTAATGCCGAATGTTCCATAAGATAAGCAAAAATAGCAAAGGGTTGTTCGTCTGTTATGTTTCCGAGATCGAAAGGGAATGTTTCGAGTAATGTTTCAAACTCTCTTCAATTGTAACGTTTCGGCTATGTTTCACTAAATAAGTTTTCAAGTGCTACATTTCTGTAATGAAACAGAAACGTTTCTAGTTAATGTTTCAAATGTTTAGTAAAACATCTCATTTGCAACGTTTCATTTACGTTTCGTGTTTAGTGGGTACAACCATTTTTCGCAAAGTTACGGCCTCTTGAAAATCACGTAAAAATTTAGGATACTTAATTTTTATTTAAAAAAAATGTGAAAATATTACAAAATGGTTTTAAAATGTTATCTTAATAATAAAAAATTTAATAACCCCCAATTTAATTAAATAAATCAAAGAACATACAATTTTTTTTTATTAGTAGGTAGATTGTACGAATTGTACTGAATTAATTTTAATTGAGTTAACCGTAAATATTAATTCAAACTACTTGCGATATACCTAACTAATAACACCCTGTATCTCGTAGATAAAGCGTTTTCGCACAGCATGTTCAAATGAGTTTTCACATTTTTTTGAAATACTCTTCGTACATAAAACTGTTTACTCTTCTTTTTAAAACACCCTGTATAACATTTTTCTTCTAAATTTCGGAATCAAGAAAATAGTTTATTTTTTTAAATATAATTTTTTATACAGAATATTGGTTCAAAGGAAATGGTTCTTCTAAATGGGTGAATTGAAATAAAAGAAAGCATTATTCACTAAATTTTTAATGAATCACAATAATAAAATAAAGTAGAAAAAAATACTACCGCTAAAATTCCATAGTCCTAATTATGTACACAAATTAATCACGCTACAACAAGCGACACTTGGACCGCGAGGAAAAAACGCCCTGTACACCATCCTTGAACCCGTTTTCAATCTGAAAACAAGAAAAAAATGGCAAGCGTCTTCCCCTATTCTCTGCTTTTTTAGAAATCACATAAATATTGCAGTCATTACATCTTCTAAAACACTGTAAGTTCTTTGATAAAAGTAAAATAAGTAATAATGATCCAGCGAATAAATTTCTAAGGAAGAAAAATAAGAAACTACCCATTCAAACGGATATTCTGACAAAATCTCAAAAGCAACAGCAGTTTTAATTAATTTAATAATGATTTGTTGACAATATCATGTTAATTAATCTTTAAAGAACTGTTTTTAAAACGTTGTTTATGTTTCTTTAGAAAGAAATTACGATATTCAATTATTTCATAAAGTTATTTGTTCATATACATCATGAACTTCGTCAGGCAACCATAAATACACTTAGCTGCATTAACAACTGCCTACCTTCGAGAATTAGCAAGGTGGCGGGTATCAACAGAGAACATACAAATTTTATAGCTATTTTCAGTTCAAACCGAAATTTCCAAATATAGAACCATAGAAAAAACTAAACAGAGCTTTTAAAACCTTGTCAGTTTTTAGTCGCATTGAACGTAACATCCAGACATTCATTCTATTCGTTAAACAAATTACTGAGGTCTAAAATGCGTTCCATCCAAGTCTACAAGGTTCCATTCCCTATTCTATGCCTTTATTGCCAACAGAAACGCTAATAACGTTCAAAAACGACTCGTTATCAACATACTACTTTGATCAAGTTGTTGTTTCCTTTCAAATGGAACCAGTCAAGAAAAGAGCAGTCACTAGACCGCTTAATATAAGCGACCGCGCTAGTAGAACACCCTGTACGTCCATCATTTATTCTTAATATCACGTTTGGCGCCGTTCCCCAAGCAAAGAGAAAAGCTTTTATAGCACAAGTACTTGATGGCCATCATGCAGCCCAGCATGAAGATGAACCCGTGCGGCAGGAAGGCAAAGTACATCAAGTACAGGGCTAGCGCCAGCTGGAGAGGTACCAGCAAACAAGCGGAGTACACGGCTATGGCAAGGAGAAACGTAGACTCGAAGCATTTGGTGAACTTCTGGAAGAAATTGGAGATCACGCGTGAAATCGTCACCGGGGAGCTTTTCTGGAGCTTCGCCTTGCTCCGGCCGGCAGACGCTGCCGATTTCAGTCCCGTCTGGAAGAACTTGTAGAAGAAGGTGTTGAAGAGCGTCGCCTTGAAGAGGAAGATGGAACTTTCCGTCGACGGTTGGGATGATTTCAACCAGCTGAACAGAGCTGGGAGCAAGTAGTACTGCTGGGAACATATGAAGGTGTTGAACCTCTTGATCTTTTCTATGGAGGAAGTACGGACCAGTCTGTAGGGCTTCTCCTCGGACTTGAGTTTGGTCACGGCTTGGGGCGCCATGGTTTGGATCTCGCTGGCGGAGATTTTGCTTGACATCTTTGGTATATTCTGAAATGAAAAAAAATTGTTAATATTTATACGTACAGTCCCTAAATAAAACAAAAAATTAACGCTTTGGTCTAGATACGCCATAGAAAGGACATATTTAACAAATGATTAGTGTTTTTTTACTATATACAGGGTGTTCCACCTAAGAGGGATTCTTCTGTAACTCTGTAACTGTGAAATTTATATAAAAAAAATAGTTTTAATAAAAGTTGCCTGGAATCATGTGGGCCACGTAAAGAAAATATTTTTAGCTTTACAGGGTATTCCATTCCGCTTGGGAGCTACATAACTTCTTTATCTTACATGGAACACCCTGTATATTATTGCATTTTTGAATTCCTTGGTTAATATTAGGTAGAGTTTATTAAATGTACATGATGTTTAAAACTTACTTTTCGAGATAATCTGTTGTTTTTTAAAAAAAATCACGATTACAGCTCTCTAAAAATATAATAGTCCAGTCGGCAGAGGCCGAATAGTTACTGTTGGTGACATTTCCTTGATAACTCGGAAATAACTACACAGGAATACTTTAAATGATGAGTACAATAACAGGCTAATTTGCTGACAAAGTAACGAGCGTTCAAATAAAAACGTGGTCGAAGTTGGCTCTGACACATTGGACGTAGGGAGTAGCTTATAGCGACCAACTTAACCTCATTTCTCAACGAGCTGTATAGCAGCTGTCAGTTTCAATAACGTTAATGACTATATAACTTTATTTTAAAGAATAATCGTGATAACAATAACAAACAATTAAAGGAGCTGCGGAAAGTGTCCCCCTCCTTGTTATAACAATAAATTAAAGCAGCTGCTGAAAGTGTCCCCCTCCTTGTTCCAAGCACTTTTCACACCTGTTCCTCAAAGAATTAAAGACATTTTCTAAGATGCTCGGGGTATTGTTAATTTCACGAATCTTGTCTATAAGTCGAGCCTGCAGATGGTTTAAATCAGGAATAGGCAGTTCAAAAATAGTGTTTTTAAGGTAAGGCCACAAAAAGAAATCACACGGCGTAATATCACATGACCTCGGTGGAAATTCATGTTCAGCATTGAGACTTATTAGTCGATTTTGGAAAACTTCCCTCAACATATTCATCGTCTCGCCTGCCGTATGTGCCCTTGCGCCATCTTGTTGAAAGTAAAAGTTTGTAATTTCGTTTTCTTCCAGCTGGTTAACAAAAGGAGCGATAATTTCTTCTCTATACCTTTGCGCAGTAAGAGTACCATTAAAAAAAATAGGTCCATAAATCCTCCTTCGATTGAGAGCACACCAAACTCCAATTTTTTGAGCGTGTAGAGGGCCCTCGACAAAAAAGTTATCTGGTTTTTCAGAAGACCACATTCTCATATTCTGTGAGTTTACGTAACCACTTAAATGAAACCAGGCTTCATCAGAAAAAAAGGTGATATTATGAAGTTCACCGTAGTTGTTTAAAAACCATTCACAAAATACAGCCCGTCGCGGAAAATCAACTTCATGAAGTTCTTGCTGACAAGTTAAACGATAGGAGAACAAACGCAAATCTTTTTTTAACACTGTGTGGCAGGTACCGACTGATACTCCCACCATTTGTGATAAAACACGTACAGAAGTTCTTGGCGCATTTTCCATTATTTGTTGGACATTTTCTTTTAATTCTTCAGTCCGCTTTTTAGGTCGGCCGCTTCCTTCTTTTCTTGTTACACTGCCCGTTTCACGAAAAACATTAACACAACGCTGAACTGCACTTTGAAAAATTTTGTACTCAACAACGCCGGGAAATTGATTTTGAAATTCTATGAAACATTCCTCAATAGAATACTTCCATATTCCATCAATCTTGCGTCCATTTCTAAAGTAGGACTCTATGATAAACACTTTTTGTTCTTGAGAAAACACCATTTTAAACGCTTTTTAAAACGAAAATATTCAAATTGATAGCGGCGATATAGCGCTTTGACAGATGACGTTTAAGTTCATTTGCTATACGCTACGCCCTACGTCCAAATTTTCAGAACCAACTTGACCACGTTTTTATTTGAACGCTCGATATTTTATCAGGTAAAAAGTTATTAACAATTTAATCGCGAAAAACAATTTTTTTTAGTAGTTTTCTTTAAATAACTCAGCGGGATGACTTTGTACGAAAAAATGCTTAGGACATGATTTTGTTCGTAATAAAAATAGCTACCAAATGGCGATGGTCCGATTACGAAATTTGCAATAACAAAGCCGTGAGATTGAAAAAACGGTATAAAACGTCATTTTTTAAAGTTGCTGTAAAAATGTCAATTAGGAACAAAAAGTGATAAAACTTTCGAAAATTATACTTCAATATATATATACAATAATGACACTAAAGCCGAAAATCAGGAGCAAAACTTTTTGTTCTATAAGGTGTTATACATTCATCGGAATTTGAAACTCGAAACTTTGCCAAATTTTGCCTTTGCCTTTGAAAAATATTTTTTTCACGATTAAATTGTTAATAACTTTTTTCCTGATAAAATACTTTGTCAGCAAATTAGCCTGTTATTGTAGTCATCATTTAAATTAGGCCTGTGTAGTTATTTCCGGGTTATCAAGGTTTGACACAGGCCGAACCTCTACCAACTGGACTATAAGGAAAAATTTCCACTTGTGAAAAAAGTGTTACTTCACTAATAACTAATGTAGTTTAACCAAGTTTCTGACAGTTCTTAAAACGTTCAAAATACATACTTTTCCCAGTGAGCACCCAATTTAATTATACTGCTTCGTACAAGATCTTGGAAAAACTGAGTCTACACTCAAAATATCGAATTTGCTGGTTATAATTGCATGTAACCTATGTAGGGGTCATGGGTAATCTTACTGACGTTCGAATATAAAATTTTAATACTTTTAAACATGATTTCGATGAAAGAAGCACGATACTGATGCATCATAGCAGCCGAATATGTAACTGTACTTCTCTCTATCAGAAGAAAGTTCAAGTTCAAAGCCATACTGATAACGGCTGAATATCAAACAGGTCACTTAAAATAAACCGATATATTTTCGTTAAAGCTGATTTGATTATAAACGTTTCCAAGTAATGGAGATTTAAAAATGTTAAAGAATGGAATTGTAATAACAATAATTTATTAATAAACAACTAACGATATAAAATGTAAGATGAAATATGGCAGTAAATACATTTAATGAGCAACGACAATTCAGATTGCAATATACGAATTATGAAAATCATAACAAAAAAAATCTCAGCAAATTCTTCCTTTGAAAATTAATAAATGTAGGAATTTCTAACTTACTTTACTTTTATTTAAGCGTTGGGAAAAAACTGTTTTTGGATAGAAAAATGGTAACATTAGAAAAAAATTACTTTTGATAAAATCCAGGATTTAAGCACTATCTTTGACAATAATTTGTAGTTTGTATACAGATTATTTTCGCTTCTAGAAGAAGCGGATAAAGATCTTGAAGATGTTCAAAATAACAAAGAGCATATTATTTTAGAATCAAAGGCATCAAACATGGTTTTAATTTTTTTTATAATCTTGAAAAAAAAACAGCATAAATAAAAGATGTAAGGAAGATCCTATTACGTTAACCTAGTTTTTTTGTAACCCTGTATAATATTTTTCATGAAATTATCTACTTTCTTACGCCAAAGTTTGTAATGTTTACAGATTATAGGCATTTTCTGAAAAAAATCCGTTTGTCTTATTATAATCCTAATATTCCGACTGATTACTGTTTCGCTACAACAAAAATTGTATACCAAATAATAAAATAGAACAGTAGTATTTTTCCTATCTACAATGAGATTTCTAGGTCATTTCAAACATTGTAGTATTAAATAAACAATCAAATGAAAAACAGCCGTTCTACCTGTTCTAAAAGTGTATTTAATATTCAAAGGTTTTAACGAAATATGTTAATTTAATTCACGGAACTTTATCCTTAATTATATGCGTCACATTTATAAGCTAACTAACAACTTTGTAGATGTATAGGATCATTTTAACTATATAGAAGTAAGTAATAATAGAAGAAACATCGTATATCTCTGACGCAGACAACTAAACAAAATTTATACTCGCTACTATTTAGTATTGTGTTGTGATATATATTATATTCATATTTTCATTAAAAACTGAGTACGATCATTGTTTTTCCGATAAGACGAAGAACACAACGAAAGGTTGATATATTTCTGTAGATTCGTTATTTTCACCGACGGCGTTTTTCTTCTAAGTACCTTTGACTGCATTTAATCAATATTTCTAGTGAATTATGGTGTATTCAAATAAAACATGACGATTTGTAAGAATGTGTGAAACAGATAGCGTAAAAAAATAATTAATTAACCCAAAACTATTATAAATCAAGAAGGAAAATAATCTTTAACAGGCGCTTCATCTTTAAAACAAAAAAAATAAAAACTATAGCGTTGCAGCCTGCGTAAAATTAATCATATTTTATGTTTGCAGAAGGAAAAAAACATGAGTCACGGTGTTTCACGCAAAATCGACACGTACCACGAGATAGTCGTTGAATGAAACGACAAAACGAGTTCCGAGAAATTTCGACCGGTCGGAAAACAAAGCGTTTATTAAAAAATCGGACTTCGAACTTTGGAATCGCTGTTTTGGGAATTCCTCTAAGGTCGTGCCAAAATTACAAATTGTAATGTAATTTACAGTTAGCCCACGAAACCGTAGAAATTCAACAACAGCTATGACGAAGTGAAAGTATAGTTAGCACTAAGCGGTTTGGTTGACCAGTTCCACAAATTGTTTTATAAATAGATCTCAAATAGTCGATAAGATAAACTGTTACAAATTCCTAAGTAGTTTGCGGGGGAAATATTTATTTTAAGTAATGGATTTTCCAGATTAAAAACATCCAAATAGCTGGCAAAATCATTGCTATAAATTACAAGTAGGAAAAATCCTTTGCTATTCGAGTATAAATTACGAGTCACATCATGGTCAAAGCATAAGAAGAAATTTCAGGAGAAGTGCATACGGTC